AAAATCAGGATACCAAAATTAATATTGTAAAGAAATATAGTTATTATGAATATTTTATAATTCAGCGGTTGAACCAACAGTAGGGAATGCTGCACATTATATAAGAGTGCAAGTCTTTGATTTGCATGTCTTTAGTGTAGGAATAAAGCTGTTTGGGAAAAAAAAAGGATCAGTTAAGCAATTTTGCTAAATGTATGAAAAATGAAATGTTATGAGATGAAGCATGTATTCATTACGAAATGAAATTGATGTTTGAAGCTAAAAAAAATTATTCAGGCCAAACATCATTTTGAATATGTTAGCAGATCATATCTTGATTTAGTTGTGTGTTTAGTGATAGCAGAAACCAAAGAGTTTCCATCTGGAGGGAAGAAGGAGAGTGGTGTTTGTGAATGACACAGGTTAACCTGGTCCTTTCTGCAGGAAAACAACACCAGCAGCAACAACTGTTTGTTTTAAACAGGAAAAATGTTGGAAGAGGTGGGGGTGAGAGGGGTTTTCTTTTTCAAAAGAGGAAATTTTGCTTTCCAGGCACATCTGTGCAGAAATGTTGATAGGTGAGGTGGATTCATTCCTCTGCAAGATGGTGGAAGGATCAGAGTTGTTAAGGTCTTGGGATGATTTTGGCTGGTGCCCTGCACTGCTCCAAGGGCATCCCAGCCCCATGGAGAACATCCCATTCCCACAGAAAACATCCCATTCCCATGGAGAACATCCCATTCCCATAGAGAACATCCCATTCCCATGGAGAACATCCCATTCCCACAGAAAACATCCCATTCCCATGGGGAACATCCCATTCCCACAGAGAACATCCCATTCCCATGGAGAAAATCCCATTCCCACAGAGAACATCCCATTCCATGGAAACATCCCATTCCCAAGGAGAACATCCCATTCCCACGGAGAACATCCCATTCCCACAGAGAAAATCCCATTCCCATGGAGAACATCCCATTCTCACAGAGAACATCCCATTCCATGGAAAACATCCCATTCCCACAGAGAACATCCATTCCCACAGAGAACATCCCATTCTCACGGAGAACATCCCATTCCCATGGAGAACATCCCATTCCCACCGAGAGCACTCCTCATCCCATGCTGCCCCTGCCCACCACCGTGGTGCCAAGGGGTGGACGATCCATGCCCGTGGTCCAGCTGGAATGTTCCAGATGGCTGCAGACACGAGTTCAGCTGTGATTTATGGACGGGCTCTGGGCAGGGCTGCTGCCCAAGCTGACCCCACACCACCAGCACCAGTGGCCAGTGCTGCTCCCACTGCTCCAGATGGCCGTGGTTGGCTGGGGCACAGCAGGAGAGGCTGTAACAACTCCAGATATCTGTGATTTAACACGGCCCAGCCTGAAATGTCGTTTATCAGCAGCTGGCAGAGCTCTGCCATGTASTCAGGAGTGTCAGGGTTTAACCTCTGTGGCACAGGCAGCAGGCACAGAGTGCTGGAGCAGCCTCCAGGAGTCAGTGGCTCCTGTTTTGTMTGTGCTGGGAAAGCTTTGGAGAGGRGCAGTCAGGATGAACTGACTGGGATCAGAGAATGTGGGTGTGTTCGAGATGCTGGGAGAGCTGGTTCCTCAGGAATAAGGTTGATGAATAAATTTTGGATGTGTTTCAGTCTGTGGAATGCAAGGGAGCAGGTGGCTGCCCAGCAGAGCCATCCCTGGCAGCCACAGCAGCTTCAGGGCAAGAGAAATTCAGGGGGAAATTCCTCTACAAAAGGTTGGAACAAGCTGCCMAGAGAGGTGGTGGATGCCCCATCCCTGGAAACATTCCAGTCAGGTTGGACAGGGCAGTGCTGGGACAGGGATCATCCTCACCCTGCCCAATACGGGAGCAATTTGGGCAAAACCTCCCCTTCACCTCCAGGAGGATGTTTGACTCTGCAATAAAAAGGGCTGAAATCCCCAACCCACTTTCCACTGCTGCAGGTTTTAGCCTGAGAGAGCAGACTCACCCATTTCTACAGCCTGAACTTTGCTGCAATGATTAACTTTTTACAAACAAGCCCAAAGCGGAACATTTAAATAAACAGGAACAAGCTTACAATCAGATGGCAGGTTTTYCTTTGATACCTCTTATAATGTCATCATTAGCTTATTAAAGCTTACCATGAGAAATCTCTTTCTCCTAATCTAAGCTCTTTCATACAGCTCCCCACTTTGATTGGCACCAAAATAAAATAACTAACCTATAAATTATAATGTACGGTTTAAATGATGGATAAACGCATTATTTGCAAGGATCAACATATGCAATTCCTAGAAAATAAAAAATATTTTACRAAGATAATAATAGGGCAGAACTCAGCTCTTTTTGTGAACATTCTCACTGCATACTGGTATTAGGTGATCCCTAAGGTCCCCTCCAACCCAAACTATTGTATGATCCTGTGATTATTTTTAGCAATCAAACAGATCTGGGGAAAAAAAGCTCGATGCCAACAGCCATTTCAATGTCAGCATCATGAGTCCCAGGTGAAAAATCCAAATCATAGAATCACAAAAATATTTGGGTTAAAAGGGRCCTYRAAGRTCACCTCATTCCAACCCTRCTGCTGTGRACAGGGAYCTTCCACCTGACCAGGTTGTTCCAAACCCCATCCAGCCAGAATTTGARCACTTCCARGGATCCAGGGGCAGCCACAGCTTCTCTGGGCACCCTGTGCCAGGGCCTCTTCACCTCTGCATCCTTCAGACAYCCCCAGCTTTGTGAGTTCTCAAGTAAATGTCTGTCATAAAATCCCYCCCAAAATCCCTGTCTGTCAGTTCATCCYCACTCACCTCTCTGCTGAGGTTGGMCAKGCTCTTCTCTTCCCCATCTTTCYCAAGCCAAGGAATGAAACTCCCTGAGCTCCCTGGAGAGGCTTTGTGCCTGGGTCAGTCCAGCTGGAGATCTGTCCCCAAGCTGGAGTGTCCCTGCAGTATTGCAGACACGAAAACCAAGTCATTTACCAGCAGAAAATAATGCACAATGGCTYCTTATAATCCGCCCGTTTGTTGGGAAAATGGGGATCTCCAGGGAGGAAAGGACTCTTCAACACTACTCTTCAACACTTTTTACAAACCCTATTTTAAATTCAGGTTTTAAATTCAGCTTTTCCATAGACTAATAACTGTTCCTTACTGGAAGGAGAACCTTGGATAAATGGAATTTGCTCTGTCAGGGCTCTGCCTTTGCTCGGTGGGGCCACCTCAGAGTGTTGGTGCTTTGTGGGTACCATTAATGGCTTTGAATTTGACTCTGCAAGTCCCAGCCTGGAAAAAGTGGCTCTTTGTCCCCAGAGTTTTGCAGCTTAGAATGAGTTAATAGCACATCTYAGGCTAGATCTGAGTGCATAATATAAATGACTAATTTGTTTCTCGAATTTAGCATTTCTCCTGCTTAGATTGTGATTTCTATGAATAATTTCCTGTATAAGGGTATTTTTCTTCTCTCTTTTTTCACGATGTGAGTTGAAAAAATATTTGGAAACTGAGGTGATTGTTACCTTTCAGTGCTGGGTGTTCATGGCATGTTTGTGGCCAATGCCTAAAATTCAGTTTCCAAGGCTGGAGGCAGCAAAAGGCAGGTTTTGTAGAGACAAAATGAGACCAAGGGAAATAAATTTCCATCCAGAAGACCAGRAACCCTTCTCAACAACAAAAACAACCAAAGGAACCAAAAGCCAACTTTTCCTCTGAATTTATAGCGTTTAATGCTGCAGGGAATTTGGGATCTTCACAAACTGYAACCCAAAATTTATTGGTGCCAAACCTTTTATGATCCGGGCCCRTTTGTGGTGGGAATGGGCTGCAGGTAAGGTCATGAGGAATTGAATTGTTTCTTTATTTTCCCTGTGTGGAATTCTCAAAAGCCAGTTGCCAACTGGGTTGGTAAATCACATCCTGCACAAATGTCTTGATAAAAATCTGAGACATCTTCAGCTATAGAAGAATCAGGGATGTCACAAGGAGGAAAATGATCCTTTTTCCRTCTTTGTTTACATTGAACAGGTTCCTTGTTTGGATTACTTTTTCCTTAGGATGTCATCGTTCTGGAAGCCCTGGGAAAAGCCAGGTAATATATACTTAAATATCCTTAGTCCTGTCCCACATCCATGTTTAAGATTAATGCAACAGGTACAATCAGCATCTCCGATTGTCTCATTTTCTCTTTTTGACCATAAATGTTAATGTAACTCTTTCTGCTTTATTTTCTTTAGAAAAATTCTGTTTATTACTCAAAATGAATATGCAGCAAATAGAAGTTTGCTCTAAATTAAATGGAAAATCCATTTTTTGCATATATTTTCTCTCATGTAATTAGATATCATCTTGTTAAAGGTAATCTGATTTTCAGCAGAGGAAAAGAGTTTTTCTTTATTTTTGCTTTACCTATGGGGATTTTTCATATTTTATAAAAGCTKTAGGTACAGGTAAAAATAAGGAAAGAGGAGGGCAGGTATTGGAGTGCTCRCTGAGCAGCTGATTTACAGAAATGGGGGTCCCCTGGGCCTGACTTSCAACCAAATGACCAAAACACTTTGCCTTTTATTTATTTATCCAGCTACTTAACACTTCTTACTGTTTCTCTTAAACGAATTAATTTACCCTACAAAGCACTGCCTGCAATAATCAATGACTCATTACACTGAAAGCCCCCAGGAAATACTAATTAAATGAAAAATGTGCAAGAGGAATGTGCAACTTTTGTATTTCTAACAACCCAGATATTCGGCGCTTTCTTTTTTTTCCTCATAAGTTACAGGAGAGGTTTTTGCCTTCAGCCACGGGGAGCTGAGGTGGTTTAGAGGGTGGTGATATTTCCCAGACATACCAAATCCAGTTCATTTATCATCAATATCCACGGGAAATAATAATCTGTTTATACATCACATTTCTCTGAGCTCGGCGAGGTTCTTGTTATGAATTCCTTCCAGCTGCTTTTCTCATTCCCACAGCARAATTGCATGGGAAGGGTTATCCCTTATCCATCACTTACTCCAACAATTATTGACTGATGGCCACTGGTAATTCCAASTCCCCGACAATCCTTGATAAAGGTTTTGTGTTGTTATTGTGCTCTAAAATGTCTCCTCACCCATAAAGGCCTTGAACTCCAGCTTGGATGGTTGACACAGCCACCTTTTTTGGGATCTTTGAATAGGAAAAGCTTAATAATATGGAAGATGAAGGTTTTATAAGCACAGAAATGATGAGAATAAGAATGGGTTCAAAAGTCTTGCTTTCTGCCCTTTGGTGAAGGGATGTCTGGAGCAATCGAGGTTTCTTTTACCCTGGTCCATGATTTTTGGAGAAAGCAGCCTAAGCAAAACCATGAAATAAAGCAATCAGAACAAGGTAAAGAAAAAAAAAAAAAAAACCCCAAAACCACCACCAGCACCAAAAACCCCTGGCTTTCAGCGAATTTCTCCCTCACCTGACTTTGGAATTCAGTGGGATTGATGGATCACAGCATTTCAGGAATTAGGTCTAAAATTCTGATATCTACAAAACATAAAAGAGGTTGAATTGTGTATATTTTGCCCTCAAATGATAATACATCCCTTGAAGACAATAGAAAAAAAATCATATGAAATTGTCTCTTTATTTGTAGGCACTTTAATATCAGAGGAGATTTGCTTCCAGCTAAGAAAACATTTGTTACAGAGCTAAAAATGTTTGATATGCTGCCGTATCAGATAAAGTTTGTTAGTGCACAGTGGCACAGTGCTGATAATTGAAGAACTCGCAGGATTTTCRGCAGTAAAAGATCCCCAGTGAGTGCTAAGCTCAGTGGGAAAATGTGATGTATAAATCTGCAGTGAGAGCAGAGGAACAGGAGGGGAGCAGCTCTGAACTCGTTCCTGGGAACCCCAAGCCACCGCCGAAGGATTTTAAAGAGAAATAAAAGGGAAGAGATGATATCTTGGGGCATAAAAGCTGTTTTCAAAGAATTTTCTTGTTAAATATAATGTTGGACARGAGCCCACGGAAATTCTCAACTCCCTGGAGACTCCTGCTGTCGCTTGGCATGATCTGGTCTAGCAGAGGAATCAGCCTCTAGCCCTGCCTAGTCCAGGAATATCGAATTCCATGAGGAAAAGTGGTGAAATGGTCACTGGAGGTATTGAGAGAGGTGGGAAAGGTCCAGGCAGGACAAAGTTGATGGATGAACTGGTTCCGTGTGATGGGATGAGGAACATCAACTTGTTAAGAGCTGATGGTGAGGATGAAGATTTGTTCTACCCAGAGTTATCCAGCTCTGGGTGATTTCACAAGGAAAGACGAGGCTGARCCTGGAAAGAGCCGGAGAGGGGAACAGCAAAACCACCAGAGGAATTTGACAACAAACTCCAGAGAGCAAAGGCAGTGCCACGGAGGGGGAGCCGCTCGGGCACCTGTTGTGACAGCTGTGACTAAGCACACAATGACCAGATCAGGGTGAATAACGAGACAATCTGCTCATTTAAGAGTGGATATACAAACCCAGCAGGGACGTGAAACTGTTTTGCTTTGTTTTACTGATAATGTGTTATTGGAGTCATGTCTCTGGCTGTGTCCTAGAGTGGGTTCAAAACAATTACTTACATAACACAGGATATATTTAAGTCAGGGAAAATCAGGGAGGGAGAAATGCATGTATCTCAATTTCTGGTTAAGAAGCGAAATGAAATTATGTTTTTCCGAACGCATTTATTGATTTCCGTTTTTCCTGTGTGGGGATCTCCGACTCAAGGGCTGGGTGCCCCTTGCAAAACTTGAACTGGAAAGTAATCAATGAAGGAGTCTGAGCCCTGTATCCATTCCTTCCCAGCAGCTGGTCCCTGCCCTAATAACTGCTAATTACTCTAAGAGTAAACTAAAAATAACTCAATCAGTGCATTCTCCAGAAATTGGAGCCCATCTCTGGAAGGTTCCAGATGGATCCACGATGGCCAGGCAATATTTGGTGCAACCCCTGAAGTGCCTTTCTCTTCTTCGCTGCTTTAGGAGTGGTCAGGTGTCTTCTGGATCAGCTTTGGCATTGATTTTGAGGTGGCAAATGTGCTGCTTTCACAAAATTTTCTCCCTAGGTGAAAGAATTTTCTGCTCACTCACAGAGCAGAGTAATGTGCGGGACAACAACAGGAAAACAAAAGGAAAAATCAAACTCCCAGAGCCAAGAAACAGCAGAACCCAGGTGCTGCAAACCTGATTCACAAGTAATAGCATGCCATGCAAGAGTGACCACCCCTGCTTTAATTTCAAGTGAAAACCATATTGAAAAACTTGGAATACAAAGACAAGATTCGTGGAATGTAAATACCTGGTGGGTGCAGTCAACCAGCACAAAATATCTTTGGAGGGAGCTGAAGCTCAGTCCCTGCTGGAGCTCCCTGAGCCCACAGATCATCACGTGCAGGGAGTAATTACAGCAGGGTTTGTCAACTAATTTGGTGGAGGGATGAATTCTTTATCTATTAATCAATGTAGGGAAGCATGAAGCACCTATGAACCATCCATCTCACTTTAGCTCCTTGTTTACCTTCAATTAGAATTGTTCTGATTTGATTGGGAAAAACGGAGGTACCCTGGAAGAGAGAGGTGGCAGCTGGAGCATCCTGGACAGCACTTCCTGCTGCAGGATCCTTGGGGAAATGGGTCCAGCAGTTTGGACTTTTATTTCCAAAATGAGAATCCATAAAATGCTCATAGGATAAGACCCCCAAATCAGAAGTAAATAAGAAGGATGGTCACAGTGTCAGTGCCTCACCCACATGAAGGAAGCTTGTAGCAGCGTGGATTCATTCATTTTTCATTTATACCTGCAGAGGGTCACTCCTCTTTCCTCAGTTTCCCCATTCCTTTATTTTATTTATGTAAAAGGAGGATATTTATCAGGAAAACTTCATTTCTTCACCTATTTCATTATCTACAGTTGAAACTGAGTGAGATCAAGGTTTCTTTTATTGTTTKTTTCAATCCCCTGCAAAATTGTTTACCTTTTCTTCCCATAATTTCCATGGGGTTTATAGGTAAGGCTGTAACACCTACACAGAGTTATGGGATGTTTTATAACTCATGTACAGTGCGTGATACAGATAAATGCAACTGCAAGCACAGAAAGCCCCAGTGGGTCACTTGCATTTAATTTCATTTTAGCTTGACTTTAAGTCAGTGATATTTTATTTTTTTTAATAAGAGAATTCTTTAAAATGCTTTTATAAAATGAAAAGTCCCGGCTAAACCTTGGAGTCCTACACACAAGTCTGGAAAACTGCAGCTTCACTAAAACCCRTACAGTAAATGTGCCGTTCCTTGGTGCATGCTTATTATGGGTAAATATTGTTCTCTGGGTAGTGCCTAGAAATTGTAATTAATTTCAAATACGCCCTCTTTTTGTCCAYGTATGCAGATTTCAAATCTGTGCCTGCGCCGGTTTTGACACCGTGCAATGAAGCATCCGAGCTCTCAGATGTCTGGCTCTTCCGAGTTGTGAAATGAGAAAACAAACAAACCCAACCATTCCAGCCCTGTCAATCTCCTTCTCAGTGGACAGATGCCCTGGTGCCAAAAAAGCTTCATCCCGTGATCCCACACCTCTTGGCAGTGCCAAAAATGAGCCGGAGATCTACTGGACGCAAAAGCACSGCGGTTCCTCACCTCGAAAAATGGTGTTTGTGGCCACGCTGGAGCTCCTGGGTGAGGCTGTGTGGGGAAAAYGTGCAAATTCATGTTCTTGCATGAGTAAGTGATTCCCAGATAATSCATGGGATCTGCTCCTGGAGGAAAGTGCCTCTGGACAGTGATGGATTAATGGGTGATGGCACAAGGTTGTGCATTGAGAGGTCTGGAATGAGCCAGGTACATTGGTAGAGTTTGTGGATTGCATTGTTAATTAATTAAATGGTATTATTAATGAAGATTTTAAATATTTTATTGGGTGCTGATCTGGTGGGAATTGACTGAACTTTCTAAGGAAAAGGGAGAGTTTGGTTTTTAACACATAACATGTAATGCAGTCTATGGCTGTGTTCCCTGGAAGGCGATCACCGCGTGTCCCAGCTCAGTGTCCTGTTGGGCACAGGATTTTTTGGAGTGGCACAAGGCTTCAGCCTGGTCTGTCCAAGCACTCCAGGGGACATCTTGATGGGCACAGTTCCAACAAAGCCCTGCCTTATGCTGAGAACCCCCCACGATGCAGAAAACCACCCTGGAAGCCTTGCAAGGAGTTTTTAAACCCCGCAGAACRCGCTGAATTTGTTGTACGGCAAACTGGCACCGGCTGAGCCCGTGACCTGCTTTGGTACAGCCGAGGTTTTCTTTCTGGCTCACGATTTGTTTTCAGTGTCACACGTGGCAGCCCAAGAAGCTGCAGCATTCAGGCCTTTTTTAATGAATTCCTATCCCTCGCATATTAGTGGGAATATTTCCACTGCAGCAAACACCATAAACAGTTTCCACACTGGGGTGTGTTATACTGCCACCAGAATTGGTTCTTCTGATGGTTCATTTCTTTTATGCTGAGAATTCAGGACCAATTCAGCTCGCTTTTATGCATCATTAGAGATTTACAATTACTTTGCTATAGTTTCTTTCTGGAAGCCTATCTCTCATGGTTAATGCTATGGGAGTCCTGTTGTGTGGAGGCTGCTATGAGCCACCTTATAGCAATAAAGCATTTGAGAAGGATTTGGAATTATGAGTGGCTAAATTCTCCGTGCAGCGCCTGTAATGCTGTTATCCCTTGCTGAGCTTGGGTTGAAACCTTTTTTTTTTTTCCCTTCTCCCCAAATTAGAAAAAAAAAAAAAAAAAGCTGTTTCTTTGAGAGGTTTTGAATCATTTACATGTGATTTTTTTTTGTTGAACCRCTGCAGTCAGAAATGAGGAATGGTGCGAATTTCCATTTGGATTTCATGATGCTTAAAATACATTTAGGTTGTATTAGTATATCATGAAAAGAAGGCCTTCTCTCTTTTTTTATCTCACTTTTTAAAAGTCTAATCATTATTTGGGACTTCGTTTTGATTTTTGTATTTTATGTGTRTTGCTAAAGCCAATAAATTTCACAAGCTCTGCCCTTGCACAATAAGCAGTGGATCTGCATGTGTTATAATCCACATAACTCACATTTTACATAAATACACTWTTGCACTGAAACAAACATGATATGCAGTGAATAACACAGGCCTGATCTAAAGGCCATTAAAATCAATGAAAAGATTTCAAATTAACTTTTATAGCCTTTAGATCAGGCTCTAAATAGGCAAATTACAGTTATGGAGTTTCCCATTTACATACCTGTGTGCTGCATTTAATATATTTTATGGAATTGAAATTACTTGGTCCTCTTTTTCATGCTTTTTTAGGCTAAGAATTTGCCAAGGGCATCAACAGCAGTTTTCCCAGGCTCCAGCACAAGGATTATGTAGTCAATCCACAAATGAGTCAAATCTTTGAAGAAAAGGACATGGTTATCAGAGAGGCTTTGACGACAGCAAGGACGGGAGCGCTATCTGCCTTTCTCCATCAGAGATTCCCATTCCCTCTCATTAACATACTCAGGACATCAGCACAGCCATCMCCCCCAGGGAATCGCTTCCAACTTTTGAGGGAATATGCACAAGACCTCGCCCCTGCGTTGTTTCAAACAGATCAAACCCCATCTGCCTCGTGTGAGGTTGGAAGAAAGGCTGGGGCGCAGCAGCGTTAGGGGAGGGACTCAAAGGTTGCGGGGWATTTTCCAATCCATTGTTATATCTTGGTAATCTTTCTTCCTTTACAGGGTTCTTCAATCCCACCGAGGATGTGATGCCTGTGAAAAGCTGCTGCTGCTGCTGCTGTAAGTGGGGAAAGGAGAAGCCTCTACCTGCTCTCTCCCTGTAATGAAAAACGCTTTTGGAGCAACACTGGAAATAAGCCATCAAAATATCTGATTAAACCCTCTTAGGAAACTCTCACTAATCACCTTCTCTGCTCTTGATGGAATGTATTTATGCATTATAAATACACTTACTATGTGTGTGTGCTCCATAAATCACACCCAGCACTTGTATATGATGTATAAGCACATTCTATAGAGCGCACACAAATACAGATGCCAAACTCCCACAGAGTTCATCACTGGAAAACGTTTGAAGGATCAGGTCCTTAATATTTAATGAGCAAGATGCTATTTCCTTCCTCAGCTTTTATCTCTGGTTTGGCACAGTCATTAAATGTGTTGTTTCCTCGCAAGATTATATAATTTATGACCTAATTTTAGACTTTTGTGTAACCGCGCTGGAACGCTCGTGGCGCATCCCGGTTTCTTCAGGCGGAGCGTTCCAGCGCCAGCTCCAGCACGACTTCTGTGAGCTGCCCGTCAGCAAGGAGTTACAGGCATGAAAGGAAAAMAGCCCAACAATATTCAGGCAGCGTTACAGGATTAGTTTGTGCTGGTTTTTTGCTCTTTAAAAAAATATGATTTAGCAGCATTTCCAAAGCCGTCTGCGGGGCTGGCAGGAATCCCCAGGTAAGACAGGCAGCACCCAGCAACTCCTATTCCTGACAATATTTTCATGCAGCTGCTTCTGACTTTCAGACTGCTCTGGGACAAATTTCTGCAGCCCTCAGGGCAGGAAGGGTTGTCCAGAGGTGGGGAAAGATGACAYTCTGTGTTCTAAAATCACTGCCAGCCCCTCTGGAATTTCCTCCCAGCACCAGTCTGGCTGCTGGGCTGATTTTTTGCTGCACAAGGTGTTGCTGGATAACTCTGAAATTAATCATCCTAAAGCAGCAGCCACTTGGGGTTTCTTTTTTGTGTTTTGTATGTGTCCAGAGCAATTCAGAGACGCTGTAAATAGTGCCATGAGCTTCAGGTATTTTGTCAATTTAAACCATATTGTTGGGACYACTCTTTCATCAGATTTAATATATTGGCTGTTGCACTAATGCACTTTGAGAGCATTTCATTCTGGCATTCCACGGGGAAGTGGCTGGTGGTTGGGGAAGGATTCAATGCTTCCTTGCAGTGCTGTTTGGAGGAGTTTCCATGTTTCTCCACCTTATTCTGAATATCCAGCCTGGATGGCAGAGTTGGGGGGCAGCATCCCCAGATCTGCAGCAGGAGAAACAGGGACCACGTCCATGCAGCCCAACACTCCCCTTGAACACAACAGCATGCACGGGGGAATGCTGGTGCCTACATGAAAGAAAAAACATCCTTATGAAAGAACATTAATTCTTGGATTAAGAAAAATTAGGGGAGTTTGTCTGCTTGGTTTTAATGGAGCAGTTCCAGGAAAGCAGCAGAGAACAAAGTGTTTTCAGTATCACATAATTCAAGARTAAAATCATCATTCCAATTACCATTGCAGCCACTTCTGGCCTTGAGAAACCTATGCTAATATTTATTRTTATATGATTGACCTCTGATTTCTTCATCATTTGCATTAGCAACTCCGATATTCTTAGTAACATCCTTTAAATCATTGAAGCAGGTGTCAACGGTGCACGATGAAGTCACATCCTGCAGATTTTTTATTTACTTAGCCCATTTTTTGGCTTTTTTTTCCCCCCGGTTAAATAACATAGTGAGGTGCAGAATCTCACCTCCACGGGGCCTCGAGGGATGTTTGTAATCATGGAATGCATTTTCTGTAATCTCACAAAATGAGTCAATCCCATCAGAGGTACAAACAGTTTTCCAAAGTCGATGTTTCACTCCCATCAGTGCCTGACATCATCCTCCATGCAGCACAAGAAAATATTTACTTGGCTCTTTGGCAYGAATTGCCACAAAGACTTTGGAGCAAGAACTGGAGGAAAGTGAGGAATTAAAATGGAATAACTTGATTTAATGAATTTTGCCTCTTTTCTGTGTGCTGGATTTAGATGTCAGATGATTTCYTATAATGTCTGGGATGGACATGGACACCTCCAATCCCTGTTCTCCACAGAGGTGCCCACGCACAGATCACAGAATTGCCCAGAATAACCCAAGCTGGAAGCTGATCCYCTTCTCCATCATCTAAATATTTTCTTTGCATGAGTGAGCATTTCTCTGGATAATTTAAGACACTGCCTTTATTTTCCAGGTGCAGGTGAGGTGCCAAGGGCAGCCTGGGGCTTCTCACTGCCTT